GTGTCCGCTGTGGGACAGTGTCCGCTGAAAGACTACTTCACGGGGAGGAGCTGCGGCCTTAGGAACAGCGGGGACCGCGGCGCCGGGTTATGTAACGCCGTGTCCCGGTGGTCGGCCGATGGTCTGTAATTACAGAGCTCGTCGGCAAAGGTGGCGTATTTATGTGTGTAAGTACCAGCGCTCGGGAACTAACGGTCGTTCTTCGGTTCGATTAATACCGACCATGCTAAATAAACGCTGAAATGTGGTGTATCATTGGTGTCCTGACGTCATGGATTATTGGCGGAACAACGGTATAAGCTATAATTTCGGTTGCATTTTCTAGATTTTTAGCAATTATCTCCGTCCCTGACAGCATGGAACTCAGCTTAATGGTTTCTGGATGCATTGTTTCTCGGATGTTTCATAATCGACTCGTTTGGCTGTGCGGTCGTGCTTCATGCTCGTTTCGTTGTTCACTTTCGCTTGCACGTACCGAAAAAGTCGTCAGATTTGATATTATGTCAACAGTTCAGAGCAACAACAGACAGAAAATGACGGTTTTCAGGGAAGCTTATGTTGTATCAAAAACATCCATCAAGCGGAGAGACTTTGTTTCTCGTCAGGCTTAGCTGATTTCTTGTGGCATCGCCTATTTCTGATGATTTTCAAACATCAGCACAGAGAGACTGAACTCGCCTACCGTATTTTCCGACGACGCTGTTCCTATGGCGGGATGTCGGCCGTCCCCCGCGGCCTGGAACCACTGTGCGCCGGGGCGGCAGTGGTATCGCCGAGTCGCCGAGCCGCCGTCCCAGTTTTGATAGCGAATAGGCGCTGTTTCTGGCGCTGTCGTCGGTCGTTCTGCCCGTGCAGCTCCCACGCTTTTGATGCTTCTGTTTCAGAGTTCGACAGTTTGGAATGATGAATGTAGCTGGTAGTGGTTCGAACAAGGCGAAATGTCTGTCTGAATGGCAGCTATATGCTGGCAACTCATAGAGTAATAACAGTTTATGCTCCAATAGCGGCAAAGATGGCCGCTGTCAACCCAAATAATCCCCATTGATAACCGCTTTCAGCTCTTTCCGTCTCTCCCAGCTCTCCCTGTCTCTACCACCTTTCCCCGCCGTTTCTCCCCGTCTCTTCCCCCGCCTCTTCCCGCCGTTTTTCCCTGCCGTTTCTCCCCGTCTCTTCCCCCGCCGTTTTCCCCAGCTCCCCCCGCCGGCTCTCCCCGTCTCTCTCTCCGGTCCTCCCCACCGCCGGCCGGTATGCTGGGAGCCCACTCGGTGTCCGACGGCCCGGCCTATTTGTCATCCGCCCCGCTCAGAATCAAAAGTCGTGCCGACGCACGGACAGAATACTGTTACTTTATTTTCAGCCTGAAATGACCCGCATTCATGCATGGGTTTTGTCTGCGCTGTTTCGCCAGAGTTCTAAACGGAAAGTGCTGCAAATGAATGCGGCGAAAAACGTACTTGAAAAACATTTCAGAATGTCCATGCAGACAACTTTGACGGCTGTCTATGTTTAGTACATCATTTCCAGCCTAGACTCTTAACTGTTTGTGGATTGTTCATTTTGATTTAACGAACTCGGTGTGTGTGTGGAGTTTCATTGCCAATCATGAGCTCGGGTGCAAGTTTTTTATATTAACCCAGCAAAGAGATGTGACGGATCACATCGCTCCTGTCGCCTCGGATGCTTTTAAGAGGGTGTGATGAGTTGATTCCTGGTTAGTTTTGGAGCGACCGGAGCCCGGCTGCAGAGGTCTGTTAGCATGCAGCGCGGCCGGCTGTCATGCATCCTGAAGCGGCCGAAATGAGGCGGTTGTGGCCGGCGGGAGCTGCCGACTCGGCCGGGACCGACCGGCGCTGCGGCGCTGGCACTGCGGGATAATTCCCCGCTCGGCTTCATCATATCAGCCTGCCTCGCCTAGTTAGTATGCCATCCGGCTCCTGCAAAAGTTCCCGGCACTGCCCGAAAGTGTGCGGTGACATTCAAAGGCATGACCAAAAGTCTCTGATACGGAGACCGTATAATGTCTTTATGCTCCATCGAATTCCCGTAACATTTAATATTGAAGGGCATATTTGCGAACTTTCGGACACTGGCAATCTGCCTTAGTATGACAAGCTGTCCGAATTTTGTCGTCCAACCCATTTGCATTGTTTTTTTCTGCAGACCGTGTTTTCCTGGTGACCTGGACCGACAACATTGGGCCATTTGCATTTTGAAAGCTTCTTTAAATGCAGACGAGGTGGTAGGGTGTTGCTCCTTAGCCGGTATTGCTGTCAGCAGCTGATGCGGCTCACAGCATGGTACTCGTGCAGACAGAGTGTTAGACAGACTCCCTGTGTGCCTGGCGCCGCGCGATCGGCCGCCGCCGGTGTCGTACAGAACTACAGGGCGTCTGGGACGTGTAACTCGCACTGCGACTGGGGGTGTAACGTATGTGAGTTCAGCCGTACAGTACCTACCGTGGGGCGCACCAGCGCTCAGCAGACTTGTAAACGACTCAAATTTTTTTTGAGTCGATTCTTTGTTTGTGTCTGGAAATTTGAATCGATTCATCAAACGACTCATGATGTTAAATTTGATTGATTCGAATCAACTCATGACTCATCAAGTTCCTCGATAAAATGATTCGAATCAACTCATGACTCGAGCAACTAGCCAACGGAATGATTCGAATCAACTCATGACTCACATTTTGATGAATCGATTCAAATCAACTCATGACTCGCACGACATTTCTATTGAACTTATTTCATTCAACCCATGACTCCCTATAGGCATTTGTTGATTATTTGACTCAAAGCTATGATAAAATGAATATGCCGCATACCACAATTGTATTAAGCAGCATAGTAGCCTTGACCAAAGATTCAAGCAGCTACCTAGTAGGACTAGGTACGTAGGTACCTACCTTACACCTACCTATCTTCAACACTCAACAGTCAACAGTGCAATATCAGATAAATTTGTAAGTAACTCTGAGAGACAATTATAATATAAGTGAGGACTAAGGAGTAGCATAGTAACCTATCTCTTATTATTACCTAGAAAGTCTTTTTGAAAATTCAAAAGCACAAGTTCCGAGAGGCATTCATGTTTTTTTTTTAATCAAACTTTTTCTACATGATAATGAAACAAATGTTACTACTTCTTACTTATCACATAAAATTATTCAAACAGTACAACCTCAAAAATAGGATTAATCCCACCTGTGACACATTCAGCATCAGCAGGGACTCCATGGGCCACGAGGAGCAAACGAGGAGGCCATGACCTTGCATGAGTGGCTCAGGCCTCAGAATCAGATATGATCTTGAGTTGAGACTCATTGAAAGTAGTTAAGGTATCGCCCGTATCGCTGGCGTCACCGTCGCCTTCCCGCCAAGGTAGGCCATAATGACCAAGGTTACGTATGTCAAACTAGTGGCAGCTTCAGATCGCAGTTACCGTGCGATCGTACTAACTTACTGCAAAATTTGTGCTAACCTGCTGCAGTGGAAAACAAGTAAGTATTATGTCCGTGAAGTTAGCGTCAGCAACAACAACGAATACAGCGTCGGATTCAGAACCGCTCAAAAAACTCATATTAAGTCAATTGGGGGACGGGGAGCAAGAATATGACCTTTATTTGGCCCTAGCTCTTACCCCTTACCCCTTAATCGGCCCTTAAAGGAAGGGGCGCGTCAAAAGTGCCTCAAGGGTTCGTCTGATCGCCAAAATAAGGGTCGCAATCGATTCTTCGGGTCAATACCTAGCCGCAGCCTCGGGTTCCAGATGTGTGCAACTTACCCTTGAGGCACTTTTGACGCGCCCCTTCCTTTAAGGGCCGATTAAGGGGTAAGGGGTAAGTTGCACACATCTGGAACCCGAGGCTGCGGCTAGATATTGACCCGAAGAATCGATTGCGACCCTTATTTTGGCGATCAGACGAACCCTTGAGGCACTTTTGACGCGCCCCTTCCTTTAAGGGCCGATTAAGGGGTAGGGGGTAAGTTGCACACATCTGGAACATCTGGAACTAACAAATTTGAAGTAAGTTAGTACTTACTTATTTTCCACTGCAGCAGGTTAGCACAAATTTGCAGTAAGTTAGTACGATCGCACGGTAACTGCGATCTGAATCTGTCACTAGTTTGACATACGTGACCTTGGTCATTACGGCCTACCTTGGCGGGAAGGCGACGGTGACGACTGACGCCAGCTTTACCGACCTAGGTGAGTTTATTTATATTATAGCATAGCCTATAGGTAGTTTGGGCGTATTTGACTCTATAGACGCCCAAATTCTTATGCTGTTGATTGATTATTGGGACCAAATTGGGACTGGGAGAAGGGGAGGCAGCCGCAGGTGTCAATTCTGACTTCTGACATGTAAAATGTAGGTACCTAGGTAGTGTAGCAGGCACTTGGTTTGGTAAGACTAAGTACCTATCAACTGCCAAATGCTTTTGGCTCATTAGGCGCCTGTGCCTGAGCCTCTGAGGCTCTTGTAAGTCTGAAATATGGAGTTAAGTGATGGCTAAAGCTGAGGGGGTGATCTAGCATTGATTATTAGGCTGTTGATGCTGACTTGTAAACGACTCAAATTTTTTTTTGAGTCGATTCTTTGTTTGAGTCTGAAAATTTGAATCGATTCATCAAATGACTCATGATGTTAAATTTAATCGATTCGAATCAACTCATGACTCATCAAGTTCCTCGATGAAGTGATTCGAATCAACTCATGACTCATCGAAAAACGGTTTGATTCTGAGTCGATTCACGAATCAACTCAGAGTCGTTTACAAGTCTGGCGCTCAGAAGCCCGTCCAACTAGTTAGCCCTCACAAAATGAATCGTCGCGTGCTTCATTTCCTTCCCCATATTTTCTCATGCTTGTCTGACCGTTCTCCGCCCATTACCGTCCCACCGACCCTAATGCCTGCATTTACATCTACCCCGCGTCCCAGCCGACTGACGGAGCTGGGACACACTGACCCACCCCGCCCCGCCTCGCTCGTCTGCAGGTTCGCCACCAAGACGGGTCGCAAGGTGGGGCGCGCGTTCAGCTTCAAGCAAACGCCCAACAAGCTGCGCCGGGCCGTGTCGACCGTCATCAGCCCGTTCCAGGGCGGCACACCGTCCGGGCCCATGTCCGAGATGAGGATGGCCTCCTCCTCCAACCTGAGGGTAAGTGGGACCGGGGGTGATGGGCTGGTGCTCCTGATGGCGCTCCTGAGCTGAGCTGAAAGGAGCATCTCAGTTGTCCTTTTGGGGAGGTGAGAATCCCTTCCAACCCAGTCAGAATCGAGTTGGGGACAGAGAGGGTCCGTAGATTGAACAGTTGATGTGGAGCGCAATGTCAGGCGGCTAGAAGACTCCGGTAGTTGTAGAGTCGCCAAGTTACCTTTCAATAAGCTCCGACCGAGGAAAGGGAGGACACGTTGGTCCGGCTTGGAGCGGCGGCCCCAGTTGGCTCCCGGTAGGCGTGGCCCGCCACTTGCCGGGACTGAGGACGGGGGAATTAAGTAACCGGTCCCATCCCTGGCTGTGAGTAGTGCTCCGCTCAGAGTTTGCTGAGCCCCGTTTCCCGGATGTTGGATGAAGCGTTCATGAATACTTGGCTGGCGCAGATCCCGGAAATTCCCGGCAGCCGAAGTGGAAATTCGGGAACTTTGTTACGTCCCCGGATTACAGTTGCTGCGAGCGATCGTTTGCGGCACCGGACGCGGTCGTTGCAGAGCTGTTCCCGTGTAGTTTGGAGGTCCCCCGACATGTGTCATTCCCAACCAATGTCCACCGGGTCGAGTCGGGTCGATTGTTGGCACTTTCGGGAAGTGGATGGAACAGCGAACCACAGTGATGTGCTCTGAAATGAGAAGAGGCCAGCAATTACTGCACTAGTTGATGAGTATGTTAGCCTACTCGTAATGCTGAGATGCTTTGTGCAGTACAACCTTGAAAATGTTGATGTCCTATACCCAGAAGTGTAAGCATCTAACGGGAGGTTCTATCGACCCGCGTCGAAATTCGTTCGCAATCAAGCGCCGTGTCCCATCAGCTTTGTAGAAATGACGTTTTTACCATAAGGGTCATTTCTGTTTAGTGCACCTCATCTCTGTCGATCGACTCGTTAAAAGGCAATTTTGCGCGGAAATTCGCCCCACTTTACCGAGCTTAATACTTAATCACGCCTCGTGATGTGTTCAGGTGTCATTTTCGCCAACTTTTCTCCCGGGCGGCCCCTTTGGTGATGTGGGCTGCTGCGGCCGCCGGCTCCAATCGGTAATGGTAACCGTTAACAGCGCCGACGGTAGTTAGATGTCTATGGCGCTGTTGGCTCGGCATATGTCATTAGACCAAACTTATCTGATTATTTTGGTACCAGCTCAACCGTATACGAGTAATAACCATATTGAAGTTTCCGATCGGGTGGCACTGGTGGAGAGTGACAATTTCAAGTTTAATAAGCCAATGCACAACGATTGCACGTCCAAGTCTTGCGTTATCATCGTTTAATGTAGACTCGCGGGGCTTCGTGGCCCCTCGCGTTGGCCTCATTCAAAGGATGCATTTCATGCTGTTTATTCTATAGGATTTATTTTATCGTTTGATTCCACCGCAATTGGGCTAATTCCCTTCTGCTGCTGGCTCGTGTGGAATCATGGACGATGTGCCCATCCTCTGCACCTGTCATTAGAGTAGCTCCGACGGCGGCTTTAAATAGGTGTTCTGCGGTTGTGGTGATATACCGGGCGGGGGCGTCTCTTGTCGCGAGGCACGCTGCCGCCCCCGCCCGTGCCCGTGGCCGGCGCTGCGGTCCGGCACCGGCCGTGGACCTAATCTCGGCCGGCACAACTTGCGCCGAGCGTCCAGCGCGGCCGGCACTGCATTAAAGCTGCATCGGCCGGCCGGCCGGCGCGGCGCCAATGGCTCCCCCGTGACGAGCCGGCGCCGGCGGCCGGCGGCGACCGCTGACCTGCCGGTCCGGTCAGTGACCCGGCTGACATGCTGCCCTGACACAGCTGAGCTGTCTACGACCCCCGCCGGTGACCGGCCCGTTCCGCCGGCTGGGCAGTCGGTCGGTTAGGTTCTTACCCCGCTCCGAGCCTGTGGTGTCCTCTGCCACGGCCGCCTGGCCTGCGGTAGGACACCCCGGCCCGGCCTCAGCTGACAGCAGCGGCGGGCGGGACCGGCCGCTCGATGTATGCATTGAAACTATGCAAATGGGGGGTGGCGCGGCGGCTTATCTTTGGAGCGCGGCGGCTGATGGGCGGGCCGCCGGCTCTGCTGGACCGGACCGGACACGGAGCGACGGGGAGTGGGAGAGACGGGCTCGGAGCCGCCCGGGTCCCTGTAACTGGGCGGCGGGCTCCCCACACGCCCACCGAGCTGCCGGACGGCGCACACGGCCGGGGGTCCGGAAGTGCTAGAAATTATTTGTGATTGAGTTGTTGATCTCAGTGACAAGCAAACATGCTAAAAACGAAGTGGGGCTGCTTAACCCTCGCCGGACCTATTGTCGGACCCCCCACCCCCTCGGCCGGCCGAGGGGGGAGGGTTGGTAAGACCCCTTTTTGCCGTTTCGCCCCTAATGGAGCTAGAGCCTCGCGGAAAAAACAAGCGTGTGCGCCGTTTCAAGGCGGAACGATTGATACCCGATTTTAAGGTCCCAGGTCAACCGGTAACCTCTGAGGTGAAGTCAAAAAGCCCAAGGTAGGGTTTGGTTTTTGGCAAATAATTTCGCAAAAAATGGCCGCAGAGCAGCGATTTTGGCACCATCGTGTTCGCCTGGCTCAGGCGCGTCGAATGGTATACTTTTTGTTCGGGTGAGGTCAACTTAAGGTATTGACCTCGAGTCAAGGTCAGTTCAGAGCCCACCAGGCCACGAACTTAATCGAAGGAGGTCGTATCGCATATCATTCGATTCGGGAGGTCTTCCCGAGTCCATTGGTGGCTTTCCCGAGTCGCTGGCTCAATTTGATCATGAGTTATTGACGAGAAACTCCTATGACCGGTGTGACGTCATAAATGACGTCACGGAAGGTCAAAAATGCAAAAGTAAAGCATCGGATCTTGCAAGGAGTGCACGAAATCACGATTCCGTGTGCTTGAGATAGTTTGAAATCATTCCATGCGCAAAAACAACAGTTTCCTTATTTCCCCATTCACTTTTAATGGTGAGGTCACGTGACCTCGAAGAGTTGCAGGCATTAGCAAAAATTGCGAGTAGGGCATGACAGAAAGATGATTGGTGGTTTGTATGGCATGGCCATTTTTAACGGCTCGAAATAACATTTCTCAAAAGTCTAACTAAAGAGCAAGTTGTTGTTGATTATCACTGACTTGTGTTTAGGGGTTAATAATGACTGAGTTTTTGAGTTTGGCCCAGAAATGTTGACAGCATTGTGTGCGTTGATCAATTCTGAGCTCAGGGACATATATTTCATTTAGATTATAAGCGTTTGTTTTTCACAACTTCCAGCGTTTTAAAGAGCGCCGGGCCTTCAGTAGAGCGGCGAGGTGACAATTGCCCCTACATCATGTGGTTTACTGGCGCATATCTCGAAAAGTAGCAGGGAAAAGCAGCAAAGCACCTATATGGAACAAAAGATGAGTAATCAGAGGCTAGTATGGAATGTTCATTTTTAGCTGCTCGAAATAACGTTTTTATAAAAGTCTAATTAAAAAATTGGATATGATTTTAAATTACGTCTTGCAGCTGCTTGCAAACAGCTAGCTTATCTTGCAGAAAAGCGATGCAATATGTCAGAATGATGTTGGCACAGTGAACAACAGTGCCCTGAACTAGTCTGACAGGAAATTTCGTTCAAAACGACGATTGGTCAACTAATAAATTACCACTAAAGTTCATCATTAAAATCGGTAAATGTGGTGGCCTATAGAGAGTCTAAATTGTCTTGTGTTTGGTGACAACTGACGACCTCAATTTTGACCTTAGGGCAAAACTAGCATCGGAATCGTATTCTTCGATCAATTTGGGATTAAATGATACCTATTTTGTTCATATTGCGGACAGTCAGTTTGGGGGAATTTCTAGCGCTTTTTCAGGCTGCCGGCCTACAGTGCGGCGCGGCGCGGCGCTGCGGTGACTGGATGGGTAGGCTGTGCCGCAGTGCCCGGCTGTGGCGCGGAACAGCCTACCACCTCTCGCTGGATGTGGGATTGTGGGAATGGCAGGCGCCTGCAACTTCAGAGGCGTTTACTTGAAAAGGCCTACAGCGGTTTCTGCGTTTGTTATCGAACGCAATGTAGCTTGTATGATGCATTAATTATGAAAGAGCATTTGTTTTTTTTTACGATACCTAGTTCTATGGCGATGGTAGATATTTTCTTTCGCAACGCTATTTTCTTTGGAAGCCCTTTATCTGTATTGTTCCTTGCTTTCTTTTTGGCACTGATTTACGGTGTCTGCATTTGGTTCGGATTATTTGGACGTCTAGTTTGTTCGCCAAATCTATCAAAAACTAAAAATAAACTGTCGTCCTTTGGTTCGGCGTTCCATAATTATTGGAGTTGGTCGTCGCGTCCAGTGTCCGCAGTGACGGCTGGTGCTTAAGGGTGCGGGGTGGTAGGTATGCTGCCCATCCGTCTGGTCGGGGTCTAGTGCGAACGGCTCCTTCACGGAGGGTGATCGGCCGCGGCATCTCGGCATGGGTCAACCATAGTAGTGTTGGCGGCCCCTCCACACAGGGTGATCACTGATCAGGAGCGGCGGCTCGGCGGTTCCCGTTTGAATTCTGACCGGTCCGCCGTTTTGTATTGAGTCGGAGGACTGGCGGCTGATGGATGGCTCAGGACACTGACTGTGGTGCTGCAGTATTGGTACACGACCTGTCCTGGCCGGCGCTCCACCCCTCTCCGTCCGAGACGCCGTGGATCAGGGGGTCTTTGGGAGCCCAGTTCCGAACGGGTGGAGTTCCACGGCGTGATATGGCATGTCTGCGGGGTCGGATGAGGGGTGGGAGACACGCCCAACGGCCCCGGCCCTGAAGGTAAGACGGTAGTTGTTGGGACCCGCCGCTATGCTGCAGTGCTGTGTAGTGCTAGTGACGCCAGTTGACAGATGCTCCGCTATACCGTAGAAAACTCCGTAGCGCGGATCAGAGTGCTGCGTGCTGTCCTGATACCGTGTTTGCTTACATTGTGGTGCATAATTACCGGACGGGCTCAGCTGCCCGTCAGATATATCTCGCTTCACCTTATCTTTCCTTCTTTCTTCGAGCTCTCCCCATCCCTTTCTCATTAGTCATTCCCCCCCCCCCCTGTATCCTGTAGTTATCACTCGTCAGTGCTTTTCGTCTTCCTTTATCTTTCCGACTGAACGTTCTGTTCTGGTAAGTATCTACCTTCTTACTGTATAGTTACAGGCTTCCGTATGCTAGCTGTCGGAAAGTGTAGCCCGTATGCCGTAAGCTAGTGTCGCGGCCTCTGCGGCGCGGCCCAGACTAGTGGTAGCGCGGCGGCCGGTAGTGCCGCCCGTAGCCCAGTGTCTGGGCCGGTAGTGTGTAGTGTAGCGCGCCGCCAGTCTGACCTGTAGCCGGGCACGGTCCGTGTGTCTTACAGCGTCTGATCCACCAGTCGTCAGCGGCGCTGCTGCCCTCGCCGTCCCGGCCGCCGCCGGCGCCGCTACCCAGCGTGAGTGACGCGGCAAATACTCAGCCGGCTGGCTCTCAGTCGTGTACTCTCTGACTCTCCTATACTCACTTATTGCTAATACTCTGTCCTTTTCTATCTCTCTTCCTGTCTGTCTAGCTCTTATCGCTCCCTACTCAGGTCATCTACTCTCTCTCTCTCTCTCTCTCTCTCTCTCTCTCTCTCTCTCTCTCTCTCTCTCTCTCTCTCTCTCTTTCTCTCTTTCTCTCTTTCTCTCTCTCTCTATCTCTATCTCTCGCAGCATGGCCGCATGGCGCCAGCATGTCGCTCCGGGCGCGTCCCCCGTGCCCCCTCTCCCTCCCCCCCTCCCAGACCGACTACCGTGCCGACGGCAGCAGTGGGATGAAAGTGACCAGTCCCGGCGGCCCGCTTGTATTCTGTTCGAGTGTGGCCTATTTTATTTGTGTTAGGTGTAGAAGTCTGAATGCTTTTCTCTATACATGTGTGCGAGAGTGTCGATATTTTCTGTCGACTCGAGCCCGCGTGCATCCGTGTGTCCTGTGTGCCGCGTGTTGCCACCAATCTGACGAGACTTTTTCTCGTTTCAGTAGCTAGAGGCTAGCGCGTGCTCAGAAAGTGTCCAGTAAGTGCGCACTGTGCATGTGGTCGGCGCCGGGGTACGTGGGTGTCATGTGGTCTGTTCGGGCGGTGGTGTCCTGTGCAGAGGGTCGCATGTGGTCCCGGCGGGCGGTGTTGGGCGGAGAGCGGGCGTTCGACCAGCTGTCTCGGTCCCAATGGGGCTCGTTTAGTGACTAACTGCCGCCTGCCGCTCCCCGCTCAGGCTCCTTTTTTCGTCCGTCTCCATTCGTTCGTCCTGAGCGAGAGTCGAGCGGGCTCTGCCCACAGTCGGCGCACAAACAGCGCGGCGGCCGACCCACTTTATACCCCGGACGGGAGTCGGCCGGCCGCCGCCGCTCCTTTTCTCCTCCCACCGACAGTGCTGTCCAGAGGGTTAGAACGTCCGTCCAGGCCGAGCAAACGATCTCTACTCGCCACCGCCCGCCTCGCCGTTCCTCGCCGCTGTCCACCGTGGACAGAATTCACCCACACTCGTCCACCGTGACCGCTCCTTCCCACCGTCCACCATCCAGCGAGGTCGTCCACTCCACTCACCGTCCACCGTGGACAGCTTCTCCGCCGTCCTACCCAGCCCGCCGTCCACCGCGCTCATCCGGAATTCGGAGCCCGTCGCGCTCGGTTCTCCGGCTGGCGAGCCGGGCCGCCGAGACGGCCAGCGCTTTTTGTGCGTGTCGGCGGCTGGTTGTGCGCGATGGATGGCGCCGGACGGGCCTCCGTCGGACGGGCCTCCGTCGGACGGGTCTCCGTCGGACGGGCCCGCCCCCGCGGTCTGCTCGGGAGGTGGATCTGACCGGCCGAGCGGTTTGTGAACGGGCGCTTTGGAGAGGCGCGGCAGGGATGCTTCTGTTGCCGCTGATGTCCATTGTGGTGCGGTGGTTCGCTTGGGAACTGACCAAGAAGCTGCCTTCGAATGGCTTAACATATTTTATTGCGAAAAGTTTGCTTTCTTGAATCGACAATCATCAATGTGGGTGGATGGTTTGCGGCTATGATCTTTAAAAAGTAACTTGGAGGGTCCTCGAAATGATGCGTGAATTAAGATTGTAGATTGTAGAATGTAGAATAGCGATTAGTTAGCTAGATTTAACCAGTCTATGACATAAGTTACAATATGCACCTACTCTAATGCTTAAATAACTACGTATTTAATACCTTATTATATTAGTAATTGCATGTGATAATAGCATACTATAATTATAATAATCTACATACCTACACACAGTCATAAACATATCACCCAAACTAGTGGCATTCGATGACTCGTGTTTCAAGCAGTGCTGTTGCATTTCCGAATTACCGCGTCGTCCCTCTCCAATCCCATACCGCTCCCCATACAAGCGAACCTCTGAGCCGCTCCCAACATCTCGCGGAACCAATGTAATCAATGCCCGCCGAAATCCAGGTGTCAGCTGCTTGGCTATCGTATTTGTGTTCCTGATGCCAGTAAGTCATTTCCGATCTTTACATCATTTGACGAACATAAGGCGCCATTTGCAGAGGCTGATGTAACTAGTAAGCTCCCAAGATCTTGCATCAGCCGTTTAGATGTTGTTTTGTGATACGATAGTTTTTCGTTCAGTAGCATGTTTAGAGAGAAATATTCAGATGGTAATCGATGAGCATTTTTAGCCCGCTGACTCGTTGCAAGCCGTGTGCACTTTCCACCTCGGTGCCTTGTCCTGTGGCCCGCTGGCCGCAGGTGCTGCCCTGTCCTGTGGCCCGCTGACCGCCGGTCCTGCCCTGTCCTGTGGCCTGCTGACCGCCGGTCCTGCCCTGTCCTGTGGGCCGCTGACCGCCGGTCCTGTGGCCCGCCGACCTCGGATCCATCAGAGGCACCCTCGACACCGGGCACAGCGCGTGTGCGCCGCGCCGGGCGAAAATGATTACCTCGCCGGCTCCGCTATCTCCCACCCTCCTCCGTATCATCCCCTCCCCGCCCTCTCTTTCTCCTCTTTTCCTCTCTCCCACTCTCCCCTTGTCCCTCCCTCCCCCTCTCGCTCTCCTCTATCTCTCTCACACGCACACACGCACACACATATTCTCCTTCCTCGATCTCTCCCTCTCTATATCTATCTATCATGTATCTATCTCCCGCATATCCTTACTGTGTCTCTGTACCATATCGGAGTTGCTCGCTCACATTTATTCTCCTCCAACCCTCACACTCTATCTTTCTCTTTTTCACACACCAGCTTTCTTTCCGTTTCTCTTGCTCGCCCACGCACATAACGTCTATGATCATCTAGCATGACATGTAGGCAAAGCACCAGCAGTGTAGCCGTGCACTTTGAATAGTTTATCTAATATCCACATTTGCAAAGATCATCAGTGGAGCATAGCTCAAGAAGTCTGTAGCCAGCTATAATTTTTTATTTCACATGTTCTTAGTTATAAGACAGTGCACCCAAGCAAAGGTCAGGGAAGCACTGTATATGAACCAAGCATGCTGAATGCAGCTTGTAGGAGGCATGTATTTACCTTGTATGATAGAAGCAGCTTTGGACATTTACTCAATCTGTATTGAAATTGCGCTACATGCATTTCGAGTTATGAAGAAGACTTGCATATGTCTCGTTAACTTTTAGGCATGCACCATTGCATATCGTCTTAGTTGTTGCTTTGCTAATGGTTTGCGCTTTTCCTTATAAGGTACGCTTTGCAGTAATTTAGCCCAGAGATAATGTAGCATCTCATTTCGCAGACAAATTAGTGCATACCTGGCTGATGTGCCATTCGTCTGACCCTTTCTAACTTTATCCGGGGCGGCTTGCCGACTCTGACCACTAACCCCGCCGGCCCACGGGCGGCCGTTGGTGGATTCCCACCACCAGTGACGTCATCTCCCGCCTCCAGTGACGTCACACACGTGTCTGTGTGCTGCCGGCAGGACGTCGACCCAGCGACGCCGCTCGCTGCGTTCAGCGGCGCCGCCACCATGCCCCACCCCCAGTCTACAACGCCTCTCTCATCTAAGAAGAAGTTTAAGGCAAGCTCGCTGGGGTATTCAGCGTCAAAGCTCCTGTAGCCGGCGCGGCAGTGACGGCGTACCGCCGCTGCCGGAGCGCAGCCTGCCGCGGCGGCTGGCGCGCGCGCTCAGCCTCACCGGCGTGCAGGGCTCGGCGGCGCCCGGCTGACAGCGACACTTTGTGAGCACGCGCCCGTCCCGGTGCCGGGGCGGTCTGTACATACGGGGAGAGTGGGGCCGGCAGCAGCCAGCCGCCGGCCCGGAGCGTCTGTGTGCGTGTGTGCGTGACGGGCCTCTGAGGACCTCTGAGGCCCGTCGGGGTATTTATACTCGATTAAGTAACGGGACCACTGCTGCGTAGCGTGCCGAGCCGACCTGGCCCGCGGTGGGAGTGTTTTCTGTTGACCGCTGGCTGCGCGGGGCGGCTCCCTCGGCCGCGGCCGGACCGGCCTGCCCGCGGATGGTGCAGTCGGGACGGACGGCGGACGGGCCCCGCTTAGTCACCCATCTATCAGCGCGCGTTTTCTGGGTATCAGCCATGACTCACTTCTTGTTGTCGATCTGTGTGAGTGCGTCGAGTGCCTGCGATCGAGCCGGGTTGCAGTGTGATTGGACAGTGAGGCGCCCGGCGAGCCCGTGATAGGCGAGACGTGGCGTGCTGGTGCGAGTGTGCTGGCGAGAGATGTAGGTACTAATGGACGGAATTTCGACAGGCGGCGCCTGTCGACGTGTGACCTCATGTGCGGCGCCTGTCGTACGCTCAGAGATTATCCGGCTCGTGAGTGTGTGTGACTAGAAACTGCCCTCGCTTCGGGAATGATACTATTCATCATCTTCTGTTATACTCGTGTGTATCAAGCGCCTGCGCCAGTGATTCGCTGCATTTACGTCAAATCGCCAAACTAGGTCCGTTCTAGGTTTTATACCGGTTGTCCTGTGAGGATCTGAATACATTAGTAGTGCTTTCTATTACTCCCTGTTTGTGATGTCAGTTCTGATGCTGGGACACACAGTTGCAGCTAGCTCTGTAGATGGTTTACTGGGCGAGGGTTGTGCCAGGCGGGTGAACACCTGCGCACCACCTGACGCTGACGCAGCGGGGAGGGTCGGCAGTGCTGCGGCACACCTCGGCTCAGGTCGGTGATGGAGGAGCTCGGTGGCTCGAACCGCTCCGCACGCTCCTACTTAGGAGAGCGCGCTGTCACTACAGTGAGCGATTAAATAGGTGGGGAGTCTACCACAGGGGAATCGGGATCAGCAATATAGTACAAAGTGTAGTGTCTTTGGGAACGAAACTACGATAATTACCATATTCACATTCGGCCTTTGGGGCTAAGTTGCAGTAAATTACCTGAGAGAAAATGACACCAGATGGTATTTCAACAGACGTGACGGTCGTCATACAGATCAGACCCGTTTCGCGATATTAGCGGCTTGTATCCGATCTAACTGTTAAGTTCAGCTGAAGAGAGTGAGTCTGAATTTGGAGAGCCATCAAACACGTTCGGTCGGCACTTGACGACGGACCGGGAGGCAGTTGGTGCCGCCATCGCCGACAGCTGGGGCGAAATTCCAAACAAACGTCTGCTGTCCCCTTTGATCCGACTGCCCACCTGGACATTTACATCCACTGATGGAGGCCGGCTACGATACGTTTGTCGCGCTAATGGAACAGTCCGTTTCATGGCGGTCGTCAGAGCTCCCTTCGTCGTCTAGACGAGTCGCTGAGCGGCCTGTCTGCCCGGGATACCCGTACGGAACCTGGCTGACCTGTCGTGTCAAAGTGTCACATTGCTGCGCTGTGTCAGTGTCGTGGCCGTCTGGTGTGTCACAGTGGTCTGGTCCGGCCGCCTGGTGTCACAGTGGTCTGGTCCGGCCGCCTGGTGTCACAGTGGTCTGGTCCGGCCGCCTGGTGTCACAGTGGTCTGGTCCGGCCGCCTGGTGTGTTACAGTGGTCCGGCCGTCTGATGTGTCACAGTGATCCAACCGTCTGCTGCGTCACAGTGGTCCGGCCGTCTGGTGTCACAGTGGTCCGGCCGCCTGGTGTCACAGTGGTCTGGTCCGGCCGCCTGGTGTGTTACAGTGGTCCGGTCAGGCCGCCTGGTATCACAATGGTCTGGTCCGGCCGCCTGGTGTGTCACAATGGTCTGGTCCGGCCGCCTGGTGTCACAGTGGTCTGGTCCGGCCGCCTGGTGTCACAGTGGTCTGGTCCGGCCGCCTGGTGTGTTACAGTGGTCCGGCCGTCTGATGTGTCACAGTGATCCAACCGTCTGCTGCGTCACAGTGGTCCGGCCGTCTGGTGTCACAGTGGTCCGGCCGCCTGGTGTCACAGTGGTCTGGTCCGGCCGCCTGGTGTGTTACAGTGGTCCGGTCAGGCCGCCTGGTATCACAATGGTCTGGTCCGGCCGCCTGGTGTGTCACAATGGTCTGGTCCGGCCGCCTGGTGTCACAGTGGTCTGGTCCGGCCGCCTGGTGTCACAGTGGTCCGGCCGCCTGGTGTCACAGTGGTCTGGTCCGGCCGCCTGGTGCGTCACAGTGGTCCAGCCGTCTGCTGTGTCACAGTGATCCAACCGTCTGCTGCGTCACAGTGGTCCGGCCGTCTGGTGTCACAGTGGTCCGGCCGCCTGGTGTCACAGTGGTCTGGTCCGGCCGCCTGGTGTGTTACAGTGGTCCGGTCAGGCCGCCTGGTATCACAATGGTCTGGTCCGGCCGCCTGGTGTCGCAGTGGTCCGGCCGCCTGGTGTCACAGTGGTCTGGTCCGGCCGCCTGGTGTGTCACAGTGGCCGGGCCGCCTGGTGTGTCACAGTGGTGTGGTCCGACCGCCTGGTGCGTCACAGTGGTCCAGCCGTCTGCTGTGTCACAGTGATCCGGCCGTCTGATGTGTCACAGTAATCCAACCGTCTGCTGCGTCACAGTGGTCCGGCCGTCTGGTGTCACAGTGGTCCGGCCGCCTGGTGTCATAGTGGTCCGGCCGTCTGGTGTTACAGTGATCCAACCGCCTGCTGCGTCACAGTGGTCTGGTCCGGCCGTCTGGTGTCACAGTGGTCTGGTCCGGCCGCCTGGTGTCACAGTGGTCCGGCCGCCTGGTGTCACAGTGGTCCGGCCGTCTGGTGTCACAGTGGTCCGGCCGCCTGGCGTCACAGTGGTCCGGCCGCCTGGTGTCACAGTGGTCTGGTCCGGCCGCCTGGTGTCACAGTGGTCCGGCCGCCTGGTGTGTCACAGTGATCCGGCCGTCTGGTGTCACAGTGGTCAGGCCGCCGGGTTTCACCGTCCAATGCCCGTCCTTGTTTAGGTGAATCCCCCGTCTCCGCTCAGGGAGCCCTGTGCCGGGGAACGGACACGGAGCAACATGGGCCGGGCCTGGCCGGCTTCTGTGTTCAGGGTAGAAGCCTACTGGGTCGGGGATCTGTAACGACTCGCAGCTCGTCTGAATAGAATGAGACTCGGAAGCCACGTCGAGCGGTCCGCCAGCACCTGTGGAGGCGGCGCCTGTCGTGTGACCTCATGTGCGGCACCTGTCGTACACATGGTTATTGTGTGACGTCAGATGCGCCAGGTGTCGACTGTGACTTTGTGACAGCAGGTTTCAGATGATAGCAAAACATGGATCACAAGATAACCCTCTACTCAATTATAATTTGTATGAAATTAACGGCTCCTATCACGTCGGTCCGAATGGTTATATTATACTTGCCAGATTTTAGTTTATCAGCACAACGTTAGCGGCTACCTATCGGACGATCACTCATTGCCTATAACTATGTGAACTGGGCTGTCAACGTATCAGCAGGCGCGTAACCACGAGTCTGAAGCTACTGGGGACCACATGGAAGGCCGCGAAGACCAAATATTATATTTCAGGTGTGGGATGAGATACGTGGGAAGGGTGGAAAATTGTTAAGAATAAAATCTAACTTTAAAAAGATCTTAAGCCTCGCACTGGCAGCGCATTTTTCATAACGCGGCTTGGCAGGCAGGTCAAAGGTCAAATTTCCGGGAAAAGCTATAATCTTCCAAATTACTTAGCCAGTACCTATTGGCGAATCTATGAAAGATAGCCACATGAAACTCTCACGACCGTGTCTTTCAACGAATCAGCAACAAAATGATGTAAAGTTGATTGCATTTCAGTCATTACTGGCGTGACGTATTCCCCGGGAACAGGAAAAGTCACGCCCGCTGCCGGCGAGGATGGTCGCCGGCGGAAGTTCATTCGAGGTAATTGACCTTGGTTGACCTTGTAAAGGTCAAGGAACAGTTTTGAAGGCATTTAGGGGAAACTGAACCACAGATTCGGGTTCAGGACCTCAAGAAACGCCACTAAACACGGCTCATATCACGGAGGTCAGTGTGCGAACATGCGAGGTCATTACATTGGTTGATCTTAGAAAGGTCAACATACAATGTGAAGATTCATTTCCAGTCAAATTCTGACAAATCACACGGAATAGTTTCGTTCTTGTCGATGAGATCACGTCCAGTTACGGTACGTACGATTTCGTCAAAAACGGTCAGAGGTGATACCTATTATGACGTCATAGCTCGGTGACCTGACATGACCCGGAACTGCTTTTTTACCAAAAGTTGAGCAAAAGATGTCCCAGAACTGTCGAAAATTTCAGCACGATCCGACTGATAGCTCGGCGCGCATCGCAAAAAAAAAACTCGGAGGGGGGGGGGGTCGCATCGAATCGACCCTCTCCCCTGCCAGGGCGAGGGTTAAAATGTGTGGCGGTGAGACGCGTTCAAAGCCAAAAAGTCCTTAGCCACCTCAGTGGGCTGCACCTGCACGCGGTCACGGTGCACATGCGCATTATATAGCCACTCCGTCCAGACGCCTTTGGCTCAGTGTAGACCGCATCCATGTTTTCAGCCTACGCAAGGCACTGAAGCTTCGCTCTGCGGTAGCCGATGCTGCTGGCAACACCGTCAGCTGCCTCAGCAGCTGCTCGACTTGCATGGGAGGAGAGATCAGGCGTCATGACTCAGGCTTTGGAAGGCCTCCTTGGCGTGCTTGAGGCACGTGACCTGTCTTCCCGACAGGAACACGCGCACCTGACTGGACAAGTTGTCCACCTCGAGTTCCTCGGGCCACCATTCTAACGAACTGCGAACTTTGTCCAGGCTTGCTCGGTCTGTTGGGCCACTGAGTAGCTGTTCCAGCTTTTTGGCTATTTGAGCAAATTGAGGAGGTCGTCGGTTTTACTGGGGACGGTCCCCAGCAACCCAAAAGTTACTGGGGACCGGTCCCCAGTGTCCCCAGTGGTGGTTACGCGCCTGCGTATCAGGTAAGAGTCGCAGATTAGTAATGAAAGAGCTCACCAGGGGGAGCTATTTCATTCCTAATCTGTGGCATAAGAGTAAGGTGAATTCCACCTTACTCTTTGCAGTTATTGCTACACATTGTTTTCGTTGTGAAGAGTGGCTAGGCTTTTAGTGGCCGTCCAATTTCAGCGGCGGCGTCACCTCCGGCTGACATTCAGTGCTTATGCTTGTGACCGGCAGCGGTAGCAGGCCCGGACGAAACGGGCCAATCTCAGTCCTTTCAAAGTAGCCGCCCGCCGACCGCATTCGTCCAATGGACTCGACCTTGTTTGGGATGCAAATTCGCCTTTGAAAATTCTTCCGTCGTAGAAACCAGAAAGGCCGTCGTGGTGAATTCGATCGAGGGCGGGCCGGTTGCGGAATAGGACGAGTGGTGAATTGGGAGCGGCGCGGTGACTTAATTCGGACAGCTGTCTGTCTGCTGTAGGAAGCTCTCAGCCAGTGTATCTGGCAGTGCCCCTCTCGGACTGTGTGACACCTCTCTCGGGCAGCTCTATGACGTCCCTTTCAGGCTGTATGAGACCCCTCTCGGGCGGATGTGTGACGGCACTCTATAGGGCAGCTGTGTGGCGCCCCTCTCGGACAGCTGCATTACGCCCCCCCCCCCCCCCCCTCGGCACGGAATATACGTAGGGTGAATGAAAAGTTTTGAGCCTAACATAGTTACAGGTGACGCAGATTAATGAAACTTTGGTCACACTTTTTGCCTCTATTGATATGAATGGACACAAAATTGTGAAGTCCTAGCACTTTTTCCTCACTTTTATAGCGCCTTGAATTATGCTATTTTGGGTAAGTGCTCGCGGTGTCAATGACGTCATTATTTTTTGTGAAGCGTCATCCAGTCAGTTTTTTCTTTAAGTTTAGACAGAAATAGACACCCTAAGGATGCCAATGCTGTTTAAAAGATTAAATTTGGGATACTTTGAAAGGCTCAGTAATTGATTGTTTACATTGAAACCAGTGAAAAATACCCTGATTTATTGTCCTGTTGAAACACGACCAATTTTGTCAGGATTGCCCTTCTGATCTTCCTGATTTTCTAACAAAGGTGTATCAGTGGTTCATCCTAGTAATGCCCAATTACAGTAAGACCCTTTGAAAAAAGTATACTTGCAAGACATCTCATTTATTTTCCGAATTACGGAACACTTTCCTCCTTGTTGTGACCCTGACATTTAATTTTTCAGATTAGAGTAGAGACGTTCTTTCACTGACTCCACTGTTCTTCCCATGCTGGATTGAAGTGAAACACCCACAGTTAATCATCGGTAGCGAAAAGTAACGTTGAATTCTCAGAATCTGCTTCAACTAGCTCCAAATGTCATTACACATCTCTCGTTGTGCTCTGCAGCAAAAAGCCGAGAGGCCCAATGAGCAGAGACCTTTCTCATGTCATGCCCATTGGTAAGAATGTCGCCAGCATGCTCCTGGGAGATGTCCATTCTTACCGCTATCTGATGAGCTCACAGTCTTGGATCCAGCATCCACACCCCTAGAGCAGGGTCAATGTTTTCGGATTTTGTCACATTCTACGGCGTTTTTTATATTTGTTCATTTTGGACGCTGTTCCTGCCCTGCTTGAAATTAGCAGCTCAAACCTTAACAGTGACATATGATGGGCCACAACCAATAAGTTTAATTTCAGGTCCTTTTTAATTTCAGATGAAGGCATGGCTTTGAAATCGCAATACTTTGTAAAAGTTCAGTTCTCGATTTTCTCCCTTTTCACCGAACGCGTAATCTTCTTCACTTTAACGGGCTCGAAAACGAAACGAAAAGGACTAGTACTTCAAAACTTTGTGTACACACCTAAATATAGTTGCAAAATGTGTGACCAAATTTTCATTAACCTGCGTCACCTGTAACTGTGTTAGGCTCAAAACTTTTCATTCACCCCACGTATAGTCTGCGACATGTATAGTTTGTCGGAATGTATAGTCTGTCGTAGACTATATATTCCGTGCCCTCGATCTGTGTGACGCCCCCTCTTGGGCAGTTGTGTAACGCTCCGCTCGGGCTGTGTGACGCCCCTCTCGGGCAGCTCTGTGACACCCCCTCAGGCTGTGTGACGCCCCTCTCGGACAGCTATGTGACGCCCCTCTCGGGCAGTTCTGTGACGTCCCTCTCGGGCAGCTCTGTGACGCCCCTCTCGGGCGGGCCCTCGGGCGCTCGGCGGCGCCGCCATCACCATCGATCGGGCCGCTGGGCTCGGCGCTGCGCCTGCTGACGTTTCGGCCACCAGTCGGGTGTCGACCGGCGGCGCGGCGCGGTCAGTGCGACAGGTCACCGCGGAGCGCGCCGCGCCCACAGACACGGCCGGACCAGCCGGCGGCGGCGGCCAGAGGTGGCCAAAGGTGACCGGAGCTGACCAAAGGCGGGCAGAGGTGCGACTCGGGCTGCCTTGTGTGGTGCTGGTGCTCTCCGCTACCGAGCCCTGTGAACCGGCGGCTGACCCGACCGTGACCTGGTGCAGCGACGGCGGCCACTCGACCGGGGTCAGGGCGGGGTCAGAGGCAGCTGACCTGAGACCGTGCCAGGCTCCAGGTCGCGGTTGACCTGAGACCGTGCTGTGCTCAGGGCACGTGTGACCTGAGACCGTGCGGAGGTCAGAGACCGCTGACCTGAGACCGTGTGGTGGTCAGGACGCGGCTGACCTGAAGGTCAGGACGTGGCTGACCTGAGACCGCGCCGAGGTCAGGGCGCGGTCGGATGCGGCTGTGACTGATCCATGAGGTGAGAACCGGGCTCTGGTAGGTGGCGACCAGTGTTAGGAAGTGTTAGTGGATCGTGTGCCCGTTGCCTCCCCTCGGCGCGCTGCTGGACGCGCCTCTGCGGGCCGCCTCCCTCTGAGCGCGCCGCTGCGACCGGCGGCGCGGGGTCACGGCCGCAGCCGGGGGCGGCGGTCATTCGGAGCCGGGGAGCCGCCACGCGCGGGTGCTGCTGTGCTGCTGCTGCTGCCGCTACTGCTTGTGGAAGCTCCAATACACCTACCAAATGGAGACGCTGCCTTTGGCCTAACATTGGCGCGGTCAAGGTAAGCTCATTTACGCTCCCTACATTTAAGTGATGTTCGGTTAAACGGTAACCGTTTTAGCAGCTCCTATGTTATCGATTCACGATACATGCGCCTTAAACCTACGACCTGAAATTTGGGAAAGTTGCAGTCGTTTTTGACACGGCTTTTGCTGATTTCCGGTCGATTATAGTTGGTGTATATCAAATCACGTTGAAGCACCGGCAGCGTTTGCAACTCATTAGGCACAGATAGCGTGGTCGTTTACGACACGTTTTTTTTCAAATTATCTGGTTTTGTTATTGCATAACGTATCGTTGGTCGATACGATGATAGGGCATATATAGCGTAGTCGTTTTACGACACGATTTTCAAATTACCGGTTTGGTCATTGCATACCGTATCGTTGGACGATACGATCATATTTATTAGTCGTCGTTCATACACTGCCCAAAATGTCGAACGAACTGTACTCAAAAATTCACAGCACAACAAAATTTAGCGGTCGCGAGGAGGAAAATTGGGAAACGTGGATTTTCCGTTTTGAGACGCGTTTTGGTGACTTGGAGAAGACAAAACTAGCAACTGCCCTGCTCGACTTGCTGGATGGTGCTGCTTTGGACATTTGTGGGAACTTGGACAAAGGAGCCAGGAGCGACTACAAGGAACTTAAGGGGGCCCTACAAAATAAATTTGGATCTAGCTGCGACACGCGACGGGCTCGGGCTAAGTTGCGTTTTATCCGTCAACTGCCTGAAGAGAATATAGAATCATTCGCTGATCGCGTCCGAAAACTCACAGGCCTGGCACACCCGGGGTTATCCAGTGAACAGGTGGATCATATAGCGCTAGATCACTTCCTGTGTGGTCTGAGCGATCTTAAGCTTCAAGAGAAGCTGCACAATGACCACACTGTGCTGTCGCTTCAAAAAGCGGAGGAAGTCGTCCAGAGACTTTGGGAAAAGGACCTCACTCTCGCCATTATGCGGGCGTCCGCTGGTCATGACACGACGGTGGCAATTTCGGCTAAAGAAACTCAACCCATTGAGGGTGGACAGGCACCAGATATTCTGACCGTCCTTGGAGAACTCCGGAGTGAGTTGAATGAAATGAAAGTCCAGGTGACCGAGCACTGCAAACCAACCGACAGTAAACGAGGCGTTTGTTACCTGTGTGGCGATACCGCCCATTTCAAACGCGATTGTCCGCGGTTTTCAAACCGACAGAAACGGACAACACGGTCCTTTGCCCCGAGGGCAGCACCGAGCGCGATTCCGCCCGGTATTTCCTGCCACGGTTGCGGAAGGCACGGCCACGCGCTTCACGAATGCTGGAGAACGCCAGTCGCAGCAGGGGGCATCGCTCCCTCGAGCCCCGCACGCGATAATTCTGGCGCTGTTGGGAACACTACAGCAGTGCCTGGTCAAGAAGCAAGCCCCAAACGCGCTTCAGTGATCAAAATCGAAGTCGAAGGACGCAGTGTATGGGCCCTCGTTGATTCCGGAGCCGATGCGTCAATGATTGGACAAGAATTCGCCCGAGCGGCTGTACAGAAAGGAGCGTCCCACAAAGGAAATTTTGGAACAATAACGCAGGCAAACGGGCAGAAAATACAGGTCAACACACAAGCAGAAGTGTCGTTCTCGATACAAACCTCGCAGTTCATCCAGCCTATGCTGGTCATTCCAGGCTTGATCTACCAGGTCGTTCTAGGCCGAGACTTCTGCTGCCAGCACAAAACGGTGCTAGATGACAGGGCAGGGGTTTTCAGAGTGGGGAACGTCGAGATTCCTTTACCAACATATTCTGAGTTACGACCGCTACGAGCAAGGGTGGTCACTTGTGCCTCAGTCACCATCCCCGCTAGGTCTCAGACCCTCGTTCAGGCCGAGGTCGAGATCCCAGATGGAGGCGTTAAAATCACTAAAGAAGCCACTTGGGAGGGTGTTCTAGAACCTCACTCAGTTGAGAGCAGCCAAGAGTGGAGGGTCCCTCGTTTAGTTACAGAAGTGACGAGCGAGGCAACCGTGCCGATTCAGGTCGCCAACATCGGGGGCAAAGCAGTAACGATCCCTCCAGGCACAGAAATCGGTACACTGTACTCTATTCAAGAAAATGGCAAGGGTATGTACGACGTCCCGAGCTCTTCAGCGGCTTCAGCTGAACTCAGTGCAGGGACGCTCGATGATCTCTTAAGCGAACTCAAACTCGAGTCTACTGCCCTTTCAGAGAGTGGCAAGACCTCGCTAACACAACTTGTGTCACGATACCAGGATATCTTCAGCACGGGAGAGTCCGACATTGGAAAAACAAAGCTTCTACAACACCACATCGAAACTGGAGGCGCGGCTCCGATCCGACAAAGGCCACGACGGATCCCAATGAAACTAAGAGAAGAGGTGGAAAGACAAAAGGAAAAGATGTTGAAAGAGGGAATAATCGAGGAGAGTTCCAGCCCTTGGTGCTCACCCATCGTTCTGGCCAAGAAAAAAGACGGCAGTTTCAGATTCTGCGTCGATCTTCGAGCAGTGAACTCTGTCACCCAAAGTCTGCCAGTCCCTCTCCCGAGGGTGGATGACAGCCTCGACAGCCTCGCGGGGGCAAGCCTGTTCTCCACCCTCGACATGGCCTCGGGCTACTGGCAGGTTGATGTCGCTGAAAAAGACCGAGAGAAAACCGCTTTCAGCACGGGAAAAGGCTTGCACCACTTCCGGTCCATGCCTTTCGGCCTCAAGAACGCTGGAGCCACGTTCCAACGACTGATGGAACTAGTGCTGGCTGGAATGGACTCAAAAAGCTGCCTGGTGTACATAGACGACATTATTGTCTTCGGAAAGGATCAAGACGATCATCTCAAGAACCTGGAGGAGGTCTTCCAAAGGATCAGGACAGCAGGGATGAAACTTAAGCCAAGGAAGTGCTGTCTAGCCCGCGACGAGGTAGTATTCCTCGGACACAAGGTGGGGAAGAGCGGTGTGGAGCCAGACCCAGCAAACATAGAGAAGGTGCGTCACTGGCCTCGACCACAGAAAGCCGAAGAGCTGAAGAGTTTTCTAGGGCTCGCAGGATACTACTCGCGATTCGTGCCCAACTATTCTGACCTCGTGCGACCCATCAGAGAAGCTGCTGAGAAGAAGGGAGAACTGGAATGGACAGACGAGCTCATCAAAAGTTTCGAAAACGTCAAGACCAAGCTGACATCCCCTCCGATCCTGGCTCTACCGACATGCAAAGGGGAGTTTAGGCTTGCAACCGACGCCTCGAACACTGCGGTGGGAGCGGTGCTCTCAGAGACGCTCGATGGCGAAGAGAGGGTAATTGCATTCGCCAGCAAAGTCCTCAGCAAAGCTGAACGACGGTGGCCCGCATACGACAAAGAGCTGTGGGCCATCGTGTGGGCTGTCAGACATTTCCGGCAATACCTCGCGGCCACCAAGTTCACTGTCCTGACAGACCACAAACCGCTCAAAAACGTCCCAAAATCTATCAACGTCGACGGCGATGCCACCGGTCGGAGAGGTCGGTGGGCCATTGAGCTCAGTACTTACGATTTTGTCGTTGAGTACCGCAAGGGCAGCGACAATGGTAATGCTGACGCTCTGTCGAGGCCCGTCCTTGACGTCACTGACTCCACAGCTGAGACGGAGACCAAAGAGCTGCTGGCCGCCGACCACAAGGGCGGTCGAGAAGACATCCCCCTCGAAAAGCTACAATTGGAGCAGGAGCTCGACCCCTTACTGGGTGAGGTCAGAAACTGGCTGGAAGCAAAGAAGCTCCCTTCTAAAAAAGAACTGCAGAAGAAGAACAGCTCACTACGTAGCATGGCTCGATTTTTCGACCAGCTCACGATGGAAAACGGGATTTTGAAGCTAAGGCGACATGGCAACAGCTCAGTCATTGTCCTTCCAAAAATCTATCATGAGACAGTCCTGAACATGCTACACGACGATGAGGCTGCTGGTCATCTGGGAACCGACAGAACTCTCGAGAGAGCAGCAACCAGGTTTTTCTGGCTGGGGATGAGCGGGGACATCGCCCGCTACTGCGAAACTTGCGAGACCTGTCAACGACGCAGTCGCCCAGCACCACAGATGCAAGCAACTCTCCGAACCGAATCCTATTCGAGGCCATTTGAAAGAGTGGCTATCGATATCACCGAGATGCCGATGTCGGCTCGCGGTAATAGGTACGCTTTAGTAGCAATGGACTACTTTACCAAATACGTCTTTGCCTACCCCATGCAGAACCAGACAGCTGAAACTGTATCTGACTGTCTTCTGGACATGGTATTGCGGCAAGGGGTGCCAGAACGCCTTCACAGCGATCAAGGTCGCCAGTTTGAGTCTGCGGTCTTCCAGTCCCTGTGCAAACGACTAGGAATCGAAAAAACTCGGACATCACCCTATCGGCCTGAGAGCGATGGCATGGTGGAGCGCTTTAACCGCACGCTCAAGGACATGTGCTCGAAATTTATCAAACCTTGCGGATCTGATTGGGACGAACATTTGGCTTTCCTCACCTTCGCATACAACACGTCCAAACACTCGGTGACCGGATTTACCCCATTTTTCCTGGTGCATGGGTATGAGGCACGCCTGCCAGTTGATGAGCTTTTCAACCAGAGGCGCGAGGTGTCGATGGTCGACACGCATGTCGAAAACAGGCTGCGCCAACTCAGAGACGCATACACCAAGGTTCACGAAAACATCAACAAAGCCTC